TTCAGACGTTCAGGAAGTTGTTTCAGACGTTCAGGAAGTTGCTTCAGACGTTCAGGAAGTTGTTTTCTCACATGGCGTTTCCTCTTCTTCAGTCCCGACGATAAAGGCGGAGCCTCACGACGACTTCGACGCCCCCCTGGTGTGCGCCCGCCACGCCTCTGGCCCGTCCCTGCACTCGAAGCCCTTTCACCCCCCTCTGGACGTGACCCCAATGATCTCGGACCTCCGAGCTGCAGTGGGCGGGGCTTACTCTGTCAGCCAGCAGAGGCCGGCCCCCAAGCCATCCTCGCTGACCCCCTCTCCGAGCACCAGCCCCAAACTTCACGACCTGTCTCCGTCACTGTTCTCCAAGTGCCTCCACCAGCCAGGCCCTCCGCCTCAGGTCCCTCATGTGTCCATCATCCAGGAGACTCCGGGGCGGTACCAGCCCCCAGATCTCCTCCCACCCAGCAGCTCTTCTCCTCCTGCAGCCTCCTCGCAGCCCTCCACCCCAACCGACACCTCCTTCTCGTCACCTCAGCCGGGCGGTCCAGAATCCCACCAACTCCCCAAGGAGCCAGAGAGGAGCCGGACCTCTCTGCAGGAGGATGGCAGTCCCCCAACTCTGACTATCAGCATCAAACAGGAACCACAAGAACTGGACCAGGTCTACCTGGATGATGGTGAGAAGAAAGTTTTTCTGTTCTTCAAACAAAATTCTTTTATCACAAACTGAAAGAATCACTTTTAACTTTTCAAATCGTAGTTTGAATTATTTCTCACATCGTACCCAGAGGTCAGCACGGAGGTGGGAGCATCATGCTCAGGGTCTGTCATGTCTTTGATCAGGGATCTGTGATGTTCTGGTCTGGTTCTGTGTTGGTTCTGTTTGGACCAGGGTTCTGTGTTGGTTCTGTTTGAAGTCTGGAGTTGTTGAAGGGATTACGTTGTTTCTGGAGTATTTTCTAAAGTAATCAGATTACAGAGAGGCAGTCATATTTGAGTTTGATCTTGAACGGAAGACAGACGGAGTGACCTCATCACTTCGGCTCTCCACCGCTGAGGTCTCTACTCAGCTCAGATTTGGAAAAAAATTGGATAAACAATCCCGTCCTCACTTAGAAAAACTGTGTGTGTGTGTGTGTGTGTGGGGGGGGGGGGGGGGTAGCACCTATCAGCAGCCGAAGCAGCTGAAGCAGCTCCTGTTGAGTCTGTCTGAGCTTCTTGATGCTTCTGTTGGACTGACTGCAGGAATTAGACTGCTCCCAGCCCATTCCTGTTGCAGTCTGGGAGCAGCCACGCTCCTCAGCTCCGTCTTTGGTGACGTTTGACCAACAGAAGGTCGACAGAAGGTCAACCTGGTTTGAAGCAGGTGAGCTTCGGTTCTTCACCACGACTGAAACTCAGTTTTCCTAAATGTTCTCAAACCAACACAGACTGAACCTCCAGGAACTCCCCCAGCTGGAATATGATCTTCGATCCCAGGACCAATCCTTGAGGAACACCTTTGGTTTGGCAGGGTCCACTGAGCCGGGGCGAAGGCCCCGCCCCCCCTCGCCCCCCTCGCACACACCGACCACCTCAACCATTAAAAAGTAATAAAAGAACTTGTTTTAAGTGAAAACCGTCTCCTTCAGTCGCTCAACGGTTTTTTAACAACCTCTCACTTTTCTGGCGTTTTCCTCCGAGACATTGAAGAAACCGGCCCGTTCATGGAGTGAGCTGCTCGGGTGGGGGTGGGGGGGCCATAAAACCTGCTGACTGCAGTTTTCCTGCTTCAGACGGAGCCTGAAAACCAAATGGGACTCTGAGCAAACATTTGGAAGTTGGTCTGGGCCTAAACGTTGGGACGTTTCTCGGGTTTGTTCCGGGTCAAACGGATCAGTGAGCTGCTGCAGAAGTACAGAAACTGAAACGTATTTGTAGTTTGTTTAAAACAATATTTGCATCTTTTTAAGAAAAACATGTTAAAGACAAAAGTTTGATCCTGATTCCACGTTTATTCCACACCAGTACTCATACCACAAGAACTGATCAACAGAAGACACCATCTCCTCTGTGGTCCACACTGCTCTCATCCACCTGGAGCAGAAGGACTCCTACGTCCATATGATCATTGTGGACTTCATGTCCGCCTTCAACACCATGATCCCCCAAACCCTGATGGACAAACTACTCACACTAGGACTAAGCCCCTCCATTTGCAACTGGGTCCTGGACTTCTTAACAAACAGACCAGAGTCAGTGAGGATCCACAACTTCTCCTCCTCCACCATAACCCTCAGCACTGGCTCTCCTCAGGGATGTGTGTTGAGCCCCCTCCTGTTTACTCTGCTCACGTATGATTGTGCAGCTACCCATCCAGGCTGTCACATTGTAAAGTTTGCAGATGATACAGCGGTGGTGGGATGCATCACAAACAATGATGAGTCCAGCTACAGACAGGAGGTGGAACACCTGGAGAGCTGGTGCAGAGAGAATAACCTTCACATCAATGTGAAGAAGACAAAGGAGATGATTGTGGACTTCAGTAGGAACAAAAACATTTACACCCCCCTGAACATAAGAGGATCTGCGGTGGAAGTGGTCTCCAGCTACAAGTACTTGGGTGTGCACCTGAACATCAACCTCAGCTGGAGCAACAACACCACCAGCCTGATGAAGAAAGTTCATCAGAGACTCTACTTCCTCAGGCGGCTGAGACGAGCTGGTCTGGAAGCTCAGTCCTCACCTCCTTCTACAGGTGTGCAGTGGAGAGCATCCTGTGCTCCAGCATCAACGTGTGGCATGGAGGCTGCACAGCTGCAGAAAGAAAAGCTTTGCAGAGAGTGGTGAAGGCTGCACAGAAGATGTTGGAGTCAGTCTCCCCACCATCACAGACATCTACACCTCCAGAT